CACTTAATTGCATGTCTCTATATGATAGGTTATAGTCACAAAAATTGATTGTTTTTTGTGACTAATAATTAGCAATTCGCCACTGATGGAAGTAATTACATGTGGCCATTTAGCAAACATGGCCACACTCACCGTAAGTACATGTTAACAAAAGATACACAATAGTCTTAATAAAATTTAAATTGTGTGACAATATAAAAGAAAACAACTACACTAAAACATCATGAATGTCGCAAGTTGGTGATATACAGTCACCACGTTTACTATATAAATGTGACTACTAACGGTTTAACGCTTCAATTTTGGATATTTAAGGAACAAAATTCCGTACACATTTGCCACACTTTTATAATACGGCCACATGTTTTCATATCATACGGACGCTACATTTTAAAGTGACCATAAGACCCATACGATGGCGTCACCTTCCGTCACGCTTTCAGTGAAAAAATAAAATGTCACTATACGCATATGGTCACACTTTTTTGGTGTAACTGTAGGTCATTTTTCTTGTAGTGTTTATTTAGCCGTGGGAAGTGAACTCACCAATCAAAAAGTGTCTGGTGGAAGAGCAAACCTTAAGATTTTGGTTGCTTTCAGATTATTCTGCAACTTGCCTTTTTCATCTGATTCAATACCATCAACAATGATAACATCAAGTCTCTCTTGCGTTGTAACAATATCTTTTGTTTTCAAGTAAGTGTAAGCCTCTTTCGTGATTACTTTCCAAATTCTTGAACCATGTCTTTCGATTCCAAGAACATAATCTTTAAAATGTAATGCCCAAACTTCATAGTTTTTTGGAAAGAGAATTGGAATCCTAGTAGTAGATCCAATACTACTAGAAAGATTGAAAGAAAACGAGTATGAATGTTCTTTGGACATTTTTAGAAAAATTTAGAACAAACAAAAAATTAGAATCTGATGAGTAGTGAACAAAATGAAAATCGAAGAGAAAGATTTGAACAAAGAACTTAAGATCAAATTCTAAACGAACTTTGAAAAATGTAGAAATGATAAAAATTTCAAAGTAAAAATCTAAAGAACACGAAAAACTTCAAACAAACAAATTTGAAAATTAGCTCACAAATCACCCGCTCTGATAACACTTGACAAAATTTTAGGAACGAACTGATTCTAATAATACAACGAGATGATCAAAAGGAACATTATGAACACGAAAATGTAAATAAGATCAAGCTTTCATTAAAAAGTAAAAGAATAGTTTGGTACAAAAGTAGGGAACTATTCAGGAAAAAGATACTCTCCCTACTATGTAACTCTCCTATACATAGGACCTGAGATGAGAGTTAGAAAGGATAACACCTAAGTCAACAATTTAGAACTACGAACCTAAGTATAACTAAATATGCGAAATAAAAAACATACAATCGCGCAAACAAAAGTGAAGACTCTAAGACAATACAAATTGCAAACTCAATCACTTACAAACTTGACACAACACATAAATTCCGAACCCTAACAATAGTAACGCTCACAACGATTGGCCGTCAATTATTGACCTATTTTACCAATTGTTACATACTCCTCCCCCATCTCTCCCGTTCCACCTAGTTGTAGTCATCACATGACCACTCTCTTTTAGACTGGGTATCTTAAACCACGTCAATTTCTAAAACTTTATGCTACCTCTTATATCTCCCTTATCCCTCGGTCTACATCCCATGTCGTATGTGACCCTAATTGGAAATCTGCCAAGGATTCAAGTAATAGAAGCTCTCCAATCCAACAACACTTGGGATCTTGTGCCTCCTCTTCCTAATTCTAACATCATTGGTTGCAGATCGCTGTATTGTCACAAGTTTGACTTGAAAGGAAATCTTGATCGCTACAAAGGTCGCCTTGTTGCACAAGGCTTCTCTTAGCAACCCGACTTGGACTTTGATGATACTTTCAGTCATGTCGTTAAACTGGCTACTATCCATAATGCTCTCAGTATCACTATCTCCCGTCACTGCCTTATTCATCAACTTGATGTTAAGAATGCATTTCTTCACAGTGATCTCAATGAGGAGGTTTACATGAAACAACTTATGGGTATGTTAGTTCTCAATACCCAAACCATGTTTTTCCTCTCAGCATGGATTTATAGGTTCGAAACAAGCCCTCCATGCTTGGTACCACTGGTTATCCTTACTGCCTTTCATCCCTCCTTAATCATATCGCTAGGGGCATTATTCGTCTATCGTCTGAGTTCTCCCTGTCTGGCCTTCATTATCTTTCTTTCTTTCTCGGCATTGATGCTACTCGGTCTACCCAACTCCGGATCTCTTCCTATCCAAATCAGCTTTTGCTAAAGAGATCATCTCTCGTGTTGATATGAACTTCTTATGACCCATGTAGGACTCCTACACACTCCAATCCATGCTTTCCGCCGACGGTAAGTTAGTTGTTGATCCAACTCTGTATCAAAGTCTTGCTAATGTTGTTCAATATTCGACCTTCACTATACATGCACAATCCTCGTGAACCCCACTTCTATGAACTCAAGCATAATATTCGTTATCTTCAAGGTACGTTGTCGCATGGTCTTCGCATTTGTCCGTCTCATGTCGATTGATTGGTCTCGTACAATGGCGGAGACAGTAAGGGGGCTGTCGGATGCTCTGCCCCCTCCAATATTTTATAAAATGAATCCCACAATTAAATATTTAGCCCACATTGTTTTGTTTATTACTGATATGCAACCCCCTGCAATTTATTTAAAAAACAATTATTACAATGAAAAAACAATAAGGGTAATAGGGTATAAGAGTTGTAACCAAAGTTGAGCCCACATCATCACACCGCCTCCATCAAATTTATTTTTATTTTAACTGTTGATTTATATCTCATATATATAATTCATCAAATCTTGTTCATAGTTATTTAAATTGACGATCGCAAAGATAGTCCATTACAGTTTTTATTAGTCGACGACTATATTGGTAAACCCTTACAATTTTAATTCTCTAATCAATAAGCACGTGAATTTTAATTTTGTATTACATATTTTATTTTCTATAACTTGTAATTAAAAGTTAATTATGAATGATAATTTGGTTTATTATAATCATAGCATAAAAACCATCGATTTTTTTTTTTCAAAAATAAAAGAAGTGTGTGATCTATTGCACCCGGTTGGTGATAAAACTAAAGACGGTGTTCATATTATGCACCCACATGCCAAAAGAATGATAATATCGAAGAGCCGATCAATATGGAACTTGAAAAGAATGATGTGCCAAATTTTAGACAAGTAACATTAGCTTCTTTGATTCGTGATCCCAGACAGAGAACGACTTTTAGTTTTAAGATATTCAAGTCACCAACGTGATGATGATATTAGAAGATTATATATTAAACTTGGACCATACCAACTTCAAAAATCGAAGTATCGCTCCACTCTTAGTGATCCAAACGGTAATTGTGTAATTTTCTACAAACTTGTTTTAAAAACTTTCGATAGATGGAAGCCCCCCTTATACTAAAATTCTGGCTCCGCCCCTGGTCTCGTACTCTGCTACTGATTGGGTTGGTTGTCCACAAGTACGCCAATCCACTTTTGGGTTCCGTGTCTATCTTGGTGACAACATTATGTATCGGTCATCTAAACGTCAACATGTTGTCTCTCGATCTAGTGTTGAAGCCGACTACAGGGGGTTAGCAAAATTCACTGCTAAAGTTGCTTGGCTTCGAAACCTCCTACTCTGAATTGTCTTGTTGATCTTAAAAATAATTCCACTTTAGTATTTTGTGACAATTTCAGTACCATGTACTTGGCTTCTAACCTTGTTCTGCACCAAAGAACCAAACATGTGGAAATTGATTTACATTTTGTTAGAGATGCATTGCCATTGGTCATGTTCGCGTACAACATGTTCCATCTGCACACCAGTTTGCTATATATTTATGAAGGGTCTTCCTACACCACTATTTTTAAATTTCCAGAATAGTTTTATCATACGAGAGTCTTCGGACTGAGGGGGAGTGTTAGATAGTATTGTATATATTTTAAACTTCGATATAGTGTACGGCCATTACTATAAATACTATACTTATATATTGCAACGGGATAATACAGAAACTCAAAAATGTATTTTCACATAATTAACAAAATGAAATATTAGTTCATTACCTTCTGATAGCGGTTTTTAGTTGGGATGTGTTTTTAAACATTTTAAAATGATGCTTGCCATTATACAACACTATCCCTAATAATAAAATTTTAACATCACTTATGGGACTTAAGCGGGTGTTGATAAATACAGGACCAAAAATACAATAACAACCTCCCATAAGAATGTTGTTTGAAAAATAATAATAGTAATAACATTAGAATAAAGTAAAATCTTTTAGGGATCCGATACAAATATTATGAGATACAACATTGACCATTTTTTGCACTTTACTTTCTTTAGACTTAGAGCAAATCTATAGGTCCAAACCATGTTCAAATCCTTTAATGGTTTGCTATTTTTTCCTCAATCATTGTTGCTGTTGATTTATATCACCTTTATGTGGTTTTAGACTTTTATTTTTATTTTATTTATTTATTTATTTATTTTTGCTTTTAGACAGTTTCTCTTATTGGTAATTTGATTAATAACTAGATTATGTAATATCTTTATGTTTGAATTAAAATGATGAAACAAGTTGGAAATCCAAACAAGTATTGTAAGATGGAATTTCACAATTTTCTTTTACTTAAACATTTTTTTACCGTTGTTTAAAATCATTTAATCTCTTTAATAATTTTTTTTTGTAGCCCAATCTATCTACTCATGCTTATCTTCACACTGTCAACAAAAGGCCATGTTAAGTTTAGCTTCCCATACACCATTAAATTCGTCTTAAATTGTAGTGTAATTAATTTATCGCAAGTGGATCTAAAATGTTGAAGGGGGTGATTGTGCTCTATGGTTCTATAAATAGTTAAATAACGAAATCATTGTCAATCACTCAATTGCAATTCCCGCGTAAGAATTTATGAATTAGCAATGACTGTTATGATCACATCTGCATCATCCATAATTATGAACACTTTCACATACCCTGACATCATATCCAGCAAGTTCGGATGCACTCCAGGGGCCATGCATGAGCATGAGAACATTAAGTTAAAACATGCTTCTTCTTGGAGTCGACAATTTAAAGCTCCAACAAAGGTAAATTTGAAAAAAGTAGGTGATATGGATTGGAGCATTGTCGACCAGAAGAAAGAGTGTCCATTCATGGTTTCAGATCTTCATGTAGAAAGAATGATTCAAGATGGTTTTTTATTCCAAGAAAATTTTTGTATTGGAATATATGAAGTAGGGCCAGATCAAACAGCTTCCCTAGAAACACTAATGAACCATTTGCAGGTATATATATTCAGTTTGTGATTTCTTTGTACTTAGAATGGCAATTTTATTAAAGTTAGTAAGAAGCTACCAAAAAAAAAAGCAAGTTACAAATAAGAAAGAGAACTGATTCTTATGGAGATGTACCTTTTGGTTTGTCTATTTCTAGTTATGTACATGCTATTATTCACAATGTCAAGGTGGACTCGCAGGAAACAGGTATTAATCATATGAAGAAAACATGCGACTCATTTTCTTCTATATATGGTCATGATAGTTCACTATAATTCTATCATTTAATCATCTTCGTCTTTGAAGCTGATATATAGTTAAGTTTTGGTAGATCAATAAAATCCAATCTCTTTACAATTATTTATGTTGATCATTTTTAATATACTGATTAACCATTAGGAATTTATCATTAGGAACTTCATTATGTATACTGATCAGTTTACTAGCTTTGTGAAAGTCACATTTACGCTGAACCGTTAGGAATTTGTGATGTTGAGATTATTAGTTGGACCATGATGTACTCTCGGGGTGCTCAAATCTTCTATAGGGGTGATATTGTTCAGATTGATACTTGGAAAGCTGCGTATGGGAAAAATGGTTTGTGTGGTAATTTTACATTCCGTGATTGCAAAACAGGCGAGATATTAGTAAGAGCTTCAAGGTATAAATACATATATCAGATATGTAACATGATGTGACTTGAAAACTTGTTTGTTGTAGAACTTCTTTGTATTGATGATGGTATAGTACTTCTACTATCTTCTAGCTTGGTGGTGATGATGAATAAGAAGACAAGAAAGTTATCCAAATTTCCAAATGAAGTTCGAGCTAAACTCGAGCAAATCATTATGGATAAACCCCCTTTAGTCGAACCAGACACTAGAACATGGTCAAGAAGTGAGGAAAAGATTAATGAACACATTTGCAAAGGTTTAAAGGTGGGTCGAATTTCATCTACTTTGAACTGTATATATATATATATATATATATATATATATATATATATATATATATATATATATATATATATATATATATATGTTATTTCCTACTTACACGATTTTCCTGATTCATTTTACACACAAATATCAGCCAAGATGGAGCGATTTAGATATTAACCATCATGTGAACCATGTGAAATATATTGGGTTGATCCTTGAGGAAAAATTGGCTTATCTTATTTTTTATGGGTGAATGATACATGAGTTATAATGACAGTTATTTGTTATTCTAGAGTGTTCCCAAGACCATTATAGAGAACTACGAGATTGATAGCATTACACTAGAATTCTATCGAGAGTGTACAAAGGACAACATACTGCATTCATTCACTTCTATATTGACGAACGACAATGACCAAATATCTAATTTTGACATTGTTGATTGCCAACATTTGCTTCAATTTGAAACTGGTGGTAATATAATGAAAGGAATGACTAGATGGCGGCTGAAGCATGGAAAGAGTAAGGACTTAGAGCATCAGTTAAATCTCCAACAATAATTACAATTAGAGCTGATCACCAGCACTCTGGCTTCATTATCCGAACACAATCTTTGAAACTCATGACATGGGTGTGCTTATTTTTAATAAACCTGTGCATTATCGTCTCTTTACAAACATAAAGGTACCCTTGTGATTATACATATGAACAAATAGATCTCCAAGGGTTTGTAAATCCATTGTTCCTGATAACTAAATGGTCTAGTTGTGCTGATTTTAAATTTCTAGAGGAAATGAGATGAAATAGAAAGAAATGATTGAACAAATCTATTTAGATTCTTATATTCGTTTTGTTGAATGCGTACTTACAAAATCCTCTACCTTATATAGCGGTCCAAAACAATGCCAAATCACCATTGTCATGGCACATTATCAACTTCGAAACCACTACATTTTATAAATTTATTCCCACTGTCAAAAAACATTTCACATGTTTATAAATGAGTCCAACCTATTAATTTATATTTTACCATAACAGCAACAAATATTATAAGCAAGGGCTAGCGGAAGACTAGCAGAAATACAAAGGTCTATAAAGAGGAAAAAAATACATAACATGAGTAAGAAATTGAAAGTAAAAAAACGTCGCCAGCTGAAACAAACCAAAAAAAAAAAAACAATTCAAACTCAAACTGTCAAATGATGAACCGCTAACTGATCTTGACTTCTGAGTATTTTCCAGCAAAGACAATAATTGAACTTTAATTGAACCGGGCCAGCGATATCGTAGGAGGAAACATTTAAGAATATAGGAGGCTGAAATACTCACATTGCAATAATATATTAAAATATAATGTTATACCCGAATAAAGTAATAAGAATAAAATTAAAAAAAAAATTCACAAGTAACATTTTTACCAAATAAACATTATATGGATGAGGTGAGAATGATAATTTGCAACAAAGTATTTGTAAAGATAAATTGCAAACCACAATCTCATGAACACAAGATTTAGAGTGGAAAAAAACCCCAAAAGAACGAGTAAAAACCATTATCAAAGAACACTATGCTAACCTCTCATCTGGAACGGGTTACAAAACGCTTAATGTTATTGTGTAAACGAAAAAAAAAGGATGATTAAAATTATAACATCTAACACCCCTTTTGTAATCAAAGGGTCTGCTTTAGACCTTGGTTCAGACATGCACCCTGTGCACCAAGGTAAAAGAAACAGAGGAAAACAGGAGGGAAAAAATGAGGGACGAAAGCAGAAAAAAAAGATTTCTGCACAAAACAGGCGAATATGAATTTCTTGGCGCCTATGCTTTATTAACTGAAAAATACTTGTTCCAGATGCATTTCAACGAACCCTACATGCCTTATTTATAATAGGATCAAAAGAGTTCCACTCAAACACAAATACTGAAAAAACAAATAACAAAAATTTTCCTATTTTACCCGTGGAACTGAAACCGTCCCATTTTTTCTGGATTACCCCAACATTTTCCCCTTTAATCCAGAAAGTTGTATCAGATTTGTTAGGTATAGAAAAAAACGATAAATGAAAACAGATATGAGAAATATGAGAGAGCACAAACGAAATCTAAGCACACAGAACACACAGATTTAAGTGGTTCAGACTGCCTTGCGATAGGCTACGTCCACTGTTGAACCAGAGAGAAATTTTATTCCACACACGCTTATCTGCTAGAATGTTACATAATTTTATTCCACACACGCTTTTCTGCTACAATGTTACAGATATGACCGTTCATAAATATATAAACAAGAAAATGTGACCTAAACCTAAAAGGCCAAGCCCGACTGAAAAAAAAAACACAAAAAAAAAAGCTCAAAAAATTTCCAGTCTTTAAAATTTCAGATCTGATGTTAAGTCTCCAGGTCTAACAATCTCCCACTTGGAGGCTTGATCATCCGTCAGCTGCCAAGCAAGTCCGTATCCTCTGTAACAGTCTCTCTCTCTCTCTCTCTCCTCTCTCTCTCTCTCTCTCTCTCTCTCTCTCTTTCTCTGTGTGTGTGTGTGTGTGTGTGTGACATCCCCATTTTTATGGCAAAAAAAAACCGATTTGTTTATGCTTTATTTTGAAAATCATAGTATCTTTTAAAGAAATACGTTGTGGAATTTGTTCCCAGAAAAACATGATAAATATGTTATCAAAGTATTTCCGAAGAAATGTATTTTATTCCTTTTAAAACGTTGGGATGACATCGTCAATACAGAATATAAGCATAAACAGACCTTACATTCATTTACACTAGTGATCTACATCTCCTTAATCTCTCAGTGTAATGTAGTTTCATATCGACACTTGTGATACAAGTAAACTGAGTGGGTCAGGTTGGGAAACCTGGTGAGTACATAGGGATTTCAATCCCACAATTTTATATCATATATATATTTTAGAACTCACAAGTATACAATTTCACCATTTATAAACAACTCTTACCCCACCCCGTCAATCCTCTTAACGACACTGTCCATACTCTCGGATCTAAAATTTACCTTTTTACTTAATCCATACTCCCAGATCTAATCCATGCTCTCGGATCAACAACTGTCACTAGGGGCAATTGTCTATGTCTAAATCCATACTCCCGAATTTAGAGGTTACTAGGGATTTAGAGGGGTTTGGGGAGTCTTCGGGCGCTCCGTGGCTTTCCTCTAGCACCTTGAGGTTACTAGGGATTTAGAGGGGTTTTGGGAGTCTAGAGAGAAGTTAGAGAGAGAAACAAAGGCTTATGGTGTGAAGAAAATATGAAGAATTTATCCTTTATTTATTGGGGTTTGATCATAGAGTAGGCCCCTAAGTTTCGTCCGTATCTTCCGCGTACGAGATCCGTTTCTACGTTCTTTATATCCACATGTTGGTATTTATGAGTGCTACAACTTTCATTTAGACCTCGTCGGCAAATTCTCATTCTATCTCAGATTTACAAAACTGTATCGAATTCGCCGCACTCAAAGTGTAAGGACTAAGTTTTGCCCATATCTTTCGCATACGAGCTCTGTTTTTTACTGTCTTTTTTATCGTTGAACTCCTATTAACGATATCTTCATTTCTCATTTAGATTATTTTGGCTAAAAATCGACCGATCTAAAATTTGAATTTCGGGCTGCACACTCCTTTGCCAAATTTTAGAAAATTCATAACTTCCTCATACGAAGCCAGATTTGGATTGTATGTTCTCTCTCTGTCTAGTATGTATGTATGTTCTCTCTGTTTCTCATAATAGTATGTTCTCTTGTATAATGTATAGTATGTACTAGCTGTATTGTATGTTCTCTCTCTGTCTAGTATGTATGTATGTTCTCTATGTTTCTCATAATAGTATGTGTTGACTCATGTATGAACTGACTCATTGTATGTTTCATTGTTCTAGTAATAGTATTAGTAACTTCCTAAACTATACCTATTATAGTTTACTAGCAATGTTGTTTGTATGAATGAACATGTTTGTATACCTTTGCTACCCAAAGGTATTGAATTGAAAGAAGGAACTTTTATATCTATATACATATACATAATATATAACTAGGATTCAAACGACCTTCGGACAAACAACCGATACCCTAAGTCCACAACCAAACAAGGAACAGGAGGTAAGGTGAGCTATCAGTCCTAAGTCCTTTCAATCCTACTTATATAACTATATCTATATAGATACACATTTAACAAAATATAAGTTTAAAAGAGTTTAATAAAAGTATTTGACATGTAAAATAGTTTATAAAACAGTTTGAAGTAGTTTGTTTTATAACACAGTTTGAAAAGTAAGAAATCCACTTGTTTGGTAGTTATTAATCACATATGATTGATATAATAACTATAATAGTTCAACTTGTATTCCCCCCCCCCCCCCCCCCCCCCCCCCGTAAAAGCATTTAAAATCATTTAAAAGGTTGATTAAGGGGTATGAACTCACCTGTAGTGAGTAGTTTGGAAGAACGGATGGTATAGGATGCTAAGTATCAAGTGAAGACTTGAGCACACACACAGATCCTATTTAACATATAATGACACATATATGTATCCAATTAGTCATTTAACAACTAATTAATCAAGTTAAGACACCATAGAACATGGAAAACACTTTGATTCAAGTGCTATAAGTACCAAGGATTTCATCTAAGGGTTGTAGGGCTTTACTTTTGAGTTTATGGTCCAAGGGTAAACTCTTCATGAGTTTACGGTTTAGGGTTTACGGTCCTAATGGGTTTACGACCGTAAACCCATGGTAACTTCTACCATTTGGTGTTTTAAGGTCTTACAAGTCAAGGTTAAGCATACTATGATCAAGTCCAAGCCTTAGGAAGTAATTGTGACACCATTGCACAACCTTTTAGAGTTTACGGCCCATGGACCATTCCTCATGAGTTTACGGCCATAAACTCATGTGTGCTTGGTTCTTTTGTTTGATTAAGGTCCTATACTCCACAAGGAGGTGATCTAGACTTGTATCCAAGGCTTAGTAAGGGACTAGGGCTCACAATGGCCCTTTCATTAGAGTTTACAGCCCAAGGAGATTGCCTTGGCCATAAACACTTATGATCTTATGTTTCTTGTTGTTTTCTAGTTGTTTAACAAGTGTATCAAGCCTATAACAAGCTAAGGTAAGAGTACTTACAATATAGAAGCTTGTAAGGGTGTTAAATGTCCAAGAACACTAGTGTGTGTTCTTGGTGAAATGAAGAACACTTGAAGATCTATCAAAATGAAGAGATTTCATGGATGAAATCATGTAAGATCACTAGATGATGAAGGATATCAACTAATTAAGGCAAGAAACACTTACAAAGTTGAAGATCAAGAAGGAAAATCGGATGCTACTTGAGAGAGAATGAGTTTCTAGGCTTGAAATGGTAAAAAAGTGTATAAAATGACTAAGTGTCATGTTTATACTCCTTAGAGTTTACGGCCGTAAACTCCATGTTTGGGCCGTAAACTCCAAACTCTTGGAGTTTTGAGACTTTATTGATGCACAATAAACCCTAGAGTATACGTCTTATAGTTTCCTTTTTGAAGGTCTAAGCTGTAGA